TCTAACATAGAGGGATTATGATTGTCTACACGAGTGAGTCAAATTTAATGGATGTAGCACACAACAGATATGTAGCCAGGTTACGTAGTAAGTACTTTCCCACAATCCTGGAAGAGGTTGTCACTTTCCAGCCAGGGAGCTGTTGCTTTCCTTGTAGACTTGATTTGTAGTCAGATATGAATGTGAGTCCATTACAGTATTGTTTTATTTAAAACCAAAAGGAATTAGCTCTTAAATGTGTGGTGTTTTTCATTGTTTATTCAAGTTTGCTAAGTGCAGTGTTGAAAACAGCTCAATATGTATATGAGCGTTGTGAAGACTTTTGTGTTCATTTTTCTTCCCTCTGTTCTGTTCTTTTTTTATCTCCCAGGATCCCCTTTTAGACTGGGGCTAGGAAAATAGGAACGGATACAGTGGGTACCAAGGGGAAAGCTGTGGAGGTTAAGGTATACTAACCTAAGAAACAAAATAATTAGTGATATCTATAACAGAAAGGTAATGGTCCCTCAACTTGCACCTTACAGTAGATAACAAAACCCAAGTAAGAACAGATGGTCGAACTCTGATTCGCACCGTCATAAGAACTTTGAGGTTTAAAATAGGCTGAATCTGCGCTCAGAAATGAATGTTTTGAGACATTAGCGTCACATAAATACTGCTGTTTCAAAACAAAATTAATAACCACCTTAGAGGTAACCCAGAGGTTTGACCATTTTATTGACCATACAAGTTCACTTAATCAGTGCTTACTGCGAAACAATACCAGTGGTTGGGCATGTAGACCAAAGATTTTACTCTAGCTATTGTAAAAAACTGTTTTTGATGTCATACTTGGTTCACCTGGAACAATTATTATTATATTTATATTACTTATCTATTATTCATATTATTATTATTCATTATTAGTTATTATTATCTATTAGTACAACCAATCAGCCTTGTCATATACCCACATTTAGCAATTAAAAGCTATTGAATACTGACAACAGGAACATGATCCTTTAACAATAAATGATATCAATAATAATAAATAGCATAAATAAGCATAATAAGTATATGATAACAAATAACACTCACAGAATTTTCTTTTCTGAATTTATGAGTACTTTTGATCTTTCAAGTACATTTGGCTAATAATGTACCATTTACTTAAGTCACATTTTCAATGCAGGACCTTTACTTATAAGGGAGTATTTTTATATTGCAATATTGCTATCACTTACTGCAGTATTGCTACTAAAATAAAGGATATGATATACATTGGAAAATTCCTTCACTCAGGGAGTCGTGGGCCCTGGAACCTTTATTATATTACATCTCCGAACTCCCTGAAGTATTCCTGTCTGTTTGAGCTATGAAGTGAATTTAAAAATGGCCATAAACAACAAAAATTCTCGAGTGCAGCACCCGATATTTCAAATCATTAAACACCACAACTTCTTTACTGTCACAAGATAAAATCACATCATGTGTCATAATGGCTGCACATGGCCTCTGTTTGCTATTTTTAAAACCTGTTGGAATGAGGAGCAGAAAATCATAAAGTCTTTACATAAGTGTCCCCAAGCATACATTTGAAGCCATCTGTTGATCTGCTGGAATAGTAGGCTACTTTACATATAAATGTAAAACTGATTGGGCAATAGAAGCTGAAATGGTGATTGGTTATGAAATGCCATCTGCTCTTGCAGCTTGAGGGTAGAAGTAGGGACATTTACTCACTTCCTTACATTGTCACCTCACATGTTCTAATTCTGAACTGTTTACTGTGTGCAACAAGTCAGGTGATTGTCCACTTTCAAATATACAAGATTTTCATAATTCTGTATGATCTCATGACACAGAAAAAGGAAGAGAATTCAGATACAATAACTTTGACAAGGGCGCCCTCTAAAGGCGATAACAGTCTTTAGGAAAATTTGAAGGAATGAAAATAATCCAGCCTAATGAAAAACATTGAACCGCTAGAGGGCAGTATATGTCCATGATTGGATTTAATTGAGACACAATAAACAGTTTTAAAGCAACATGCATAAGAAAAGTCATGAAGAACTCATTGTGCCATTGTTATTTTATTATTTACACGGAAATTATGTTTTAGCCTGTAACCCTCTGTGAAAATAAGGGAAATAAAGTCTAAATCTGGGGGTCTTGTTGTGTCAGGGACCTCTTCATCTACAGTCCAGGCATTGCCAAACTAGTTCACAAGCTCATTGTAAGTCAAGTCAATTTTATTTAGCCTGATATCACAAACCAAGTTTGCCTACAACCAGCATACAGCACCTTCTATCCTTAGATTCTCGATTCAGGAGGGAGGAAACCATCCCTCAAAACTCTTAACAGGGAAAAAACTGGAAGAAACCACAGGAAGAGACAACAGAGGAGCAATCCATCATCCAGGATTGGACAGACGTGCATACAGAATAGAAATTAGCGAATTACAGTACAGAAAATCAGGATGACAGTATAATAAGTGGACAGACTACACAAACACACAAGAGGCAAAACAAAAGCACACTATTCACACCTTACACACAGAGATAGAGAGACAAGAAGACAACAAGGGGTCTCACAAAACAGACGTAAGACATATAAATTAATCTGTCAGTGATGTGCTGAGTGATTTGCCAAACATGAAACAGCTCTTTTTGCTATTGTCTGCTAATAACTTCATCGTGCATGTTTTAATGGTAAAAAAAACAAATGTTTACTGTATTAATTTACATAACAAAGGAAGCGATCGCTTCATGCATGCCTCCATTTAACAGCAGCAGAGAGTCAGCGAGTACGTCCACTAAGAGAGTCGAGACGTGCAGAGAATGTCATCTAGTGTCCTAGATGAGGTTTATCAATATTTTAAATATCGATCTGACCAGTGGTTGCAGATAGAAAACTAAATTGAACCCATTCTCTCAGATAAAGTAATTGGGCCTGAAATGTCATCTTATTGGCCCTCAGTGGCCAATAAGGAGCAACATCCTCGTAACTGTCAGGTATCGCGGTTTCAAACAGCAAGTTAAAGGAAAATACAGATGTAGCTCAGGTTTTTTTCCCTGAGTGCGTGACTGTACTGCATGCTTACATTATCCACAGACCCCTTGCTCATTGACTGGCCTTGTTGCCATAATTTCATTAGATAATCAATATCCGTCAAATCAACATTTGTAGCTATCATTTCTAATATAAATTATGCTACATTGTTCGTACTGAATACATTGATTCAAATATTAATTTTCCGGGAACCGGTTATTAAACAAAGTGGTACAAAGAAAGTATTGGCACAAAACCAGGACACAATTAGTTTACATTGATGGATTACAGCAGAGAGGCCCAAACGTTTGTAACACAGAGCTAAAACTGCTACATATTACATGGCATGGTCTGCTATTGACAGGCACTTCAAATGTTTCATTCATTAGGATGTCCTTGGACAAGTGGTTCAGGTTCAAAAGAAGGGAAAAAATGAATGAAATCTGACTATAATCCTGCTGCTCATTAATTTTATTTTTGTGCTTTTTATTTAAACCATTTTCCATTGTATCCAAAAGGCTGAATTCATCCTGGTTGAAGTGGACTGAAACACAGAGAGGTGATATTTCTTTCCTAATACATTAGCGTAACATAAACCCAAGAAAACTCCCCCTGGTGACGAAGAATCCTCTCATCTTATGTAGCCATTTTATCATCCGCCAAACAATTTTAGGTTTTGTGAAGGTTTTCTTTTGTGCCCAAGGACATGGATCAAAGTAAGGTGCTACAGTACATCTCCTGCTTAAATGAATGATCTTGAAAGGGATAATAAAATAGAGACTCAGAAATGGGAGCTGGTACTAGTAGTCTGAAGAGATAATTATACTTGTGAATTAATTTGAAATGCAAAAATGTAGTCTGCTATAAAGTAACATTAGGTCTCCTGTTATTACATCTCCTGTTATTAGTATGTTTTCCCTGTAAAAGAGAATAAACAGCATTTTCAGTCACTTTTCTGTGCGTGTTTGTGTTTATTTTCACCCATGTGTGTGTGTATACATGTATATATATATATGTATATGGTATATGTTTCGAGATGAATCTCTTGCCAGAACATATCTTGTGTGACACAGATAATGGGTCAATTTTAAAGCATCTGTTCCATTTAGCAACTGATGACTGCAAGAAAGCATGCGTCAAAAGCTTTAAAACTAAATCTTTATTGCCATCGCTCAACAAACTCCCATCTGATCTCTTTATTGTGACATATGACTGATGATCGTGAACATGTGCTACGTACAACCCAGGGCCTTCATTTATTCATCAAACAGAAAACAGTAATAAAGTGAAGGATAAAAGTAAAAATCCTACTCACAAACGTAAGAATAAAAGCTGTTTATCAATTTTCTTATGACTTCAAAAGAGGTGTCACGGTGGAATTCTGGATGACTGCAGTACAGAAACAGAGCTGATCACATTCTGAGACATGTTTTGATGGATTGTACAAATATCAGTCATGAAGATGAATAATATGCCAGCGGAAGAAAAAATTATAATTAAGAATAGAGTAGGTTTAGATAAAATTAGATTTGAACATTTGGTAGGATGTTACACCACACTCTCCTCTTCTTTTATATTTATCAACAGAAACAAAACTGACGTTCATTTTGTTTGCAGTAACTATCCATGCATCATCATGGTCTTCACTTGTCAATGCAGTACTGACTTCTTTCCTCTAACGTACCTCATGCACCAACAGCAGAATGCATTTCAGGTATGAGTTTGGTTTTCTTTTTGGCTCTACAACAAATTGATATGTGAAATTCAACAATCAAATTAATATATAGGGATTAAAGGTTTGGTGTCCAATATAGGAATCGTTATGTTTTTGTTACCTTAGAATGAGCCGCTTATATCTACAGACGCCATGGGTTGCCTTCCATGGAGTCTGACATGTTGAACCAATGTTACAGTAGTGGTCAATGTAGTTTCCCCATCACGCTTGGAAGGGGAGGGTGAAGTGAGAGAGTTGCTGTCTTCAACTACACCGCTAGATGACCTTTAAATCATATAAAAACCAGATGAAATGGAAACATGAAAGATTGCACACAAATAAAATAAGGATAAATCTAGGTGGGGAAAGGCCCCAACTGCTCCAGTGGTCAACAGGTCAGACTATGGTTGTACGGGGAAGCTTCCAGGTGTGAATGGTTGTAACTGTGTGAATGTTATCAGGAAGTTCCTGCAAAAGAGAGCTGAACTCCATGGACAAATAAAGGTGAAACATATTGTAAATCCTTGTTTCTGATTGGTTATTCATACATGTGATTAATTATGTGATCACTTGAAAGTTTCCTTTTACACTTCTTTTTCACGGTCGTTGACCAGGCTTTATAGCCATGACAAAGGAGAGGGAGATGTGATAAGAGAAC